AGACTTTTTAGATGAACACTTTTAGAGTCAACTGAGAAACTGAGGCCTTTGCATAAAATTTTCTTTGTGTGTGCCATCTGCTGGGTTCTCAGCACCCTGTCTTTTTTGTGATATCAGAATTATGGAACTCTCCCTGTCCTGGGGTGGTGGTCAAAATAGTCATCTTTTACCTGACCATTTATTTTTGTTTAGTCTTGGGAAGAAAGTCTTTCGGAAGAATCTTGTGAATTTGTAGTTGTGACAGAAGTTGATGATTTTAGCTTTGTTTATTTTTTATTTTGAAAAGTGTTTACTCTGCATTGCTGTATGCACTCTGAATCAAAAGGATGTAACCAAGCAAAAATTACTTGGTTCCAGGCATGCTTGCTGACTAGGGCCCATTCTCAGGTGAGCATCGGATCACCAGCTACATCCATCCTGCTTCGTATCAGGATAGCAGCACGTTCCCTAAGCATCCAAATATCCAATAAGCATCTTTCACTCTGAAGCCCACCATTTTAATCTGCCAGTCAGTTTCAGCACTAAATCTCTGAATTTTGAATGAGAGAGAGACTGATCTGATATTTTGGCAGTTCTGAAGGCTTGTGGAAAGCAGAGGACATTTTCTTACCGAGCGGACCTGTTTGTCGCTGTGCCCCAGGAGTTCGCCTGTCAGTCATCCTGGATAATATATCTGACAAGAACCACTTGTATATGTTACGTTCTTTTCCAAACATAAAAAGCAAGGGACAAAAGAATTGGCCTATATATTTAGAAAGACATAGATGTATCGATGGGGCCAGAGTACTTTGAGGCTGGTGATATATGTGGAGCCTGGGGGAGCAGCGACAGCCCTGGTGCTCTGGATTCAGCCCGGCAAGGGCCCTCCTCTGGGATCAGCCAAGAAGTTATTGCTCCATATTGAAACATCAGGACTGATGGGGTGTCTTCAGTTATACAGTCGACTGATAGCAGCAGCCAAAATTGGATTGGTTGCTTTTTCTTTTTCTTTTTCTTTTTCTTTTTCTTTTTCTTTTTCTTTTTTCTTTTTAACTTCTGTCACAGTCAGTCCCACGACGGGAAAACTCCCCTGCTCTGGCTGGTGGATTTTGCTGTCGGTTCTGAAGCTGAAGAAGCATTCTGATGTCTCCATTACGGGGAGAATAGTTAGTACTGATCGAATCGCTGGAAAGAACTGCCTTTTCTTGCTGGATGAGGCCAAGAGGCATGTACCTGGGTTCTGCTTCAGCCAGTGGCTGGCCAGCCTTCTCAGCCTCTTCCGTTCTGAGCAATGGGCTTTGTCATCAGGCAGGACCAAGCTCGGAGCTGAAGCTTCCTCTTAGCAGTCGTTCCTTAGACACTTTGCTTCCCAGGCCACCATGCTCAGTCCAGGGGGAAATACACTGTTGTGCAAACGCATCCTTTTAATTCCTTTACTCGTTCCCCTGGAAGTAAGATTTGAACCAAGTAATGAGATCCCTGGGCCAGTCTTTCAACATCCCTTCCAGAGGGATCGGGACTTCAGTGGGTCAGGAAGACTGCCACAACTTATACTAAACAAGCGCATGGCGTTGTTGGAGAGGAAATGAGATTGAGATAGTTTATATCTCACCCTAAGCTGTTAGTTCAGGGATCGGCCATCTTTCAGTTCCTCCCCCCTCCCCTGCAGTCGTCACGTGCAAGGATTCAGACACCCCGTTCTTTCATTACTAAAATCTGGTGTGATTTTGGTGAGTTCCTACAAGTTTTCAATATTCTTATGGAAGATGTCGTCTTACACAATTCTCCACCTTTCAAGTTTGCAGCATTTTTTAAATATTGGGGTGGAATAGGTGCCTCCTAAGGGTCAGCAGGCACTCTTTTGCTGACTTTTATCCTAGAAAGTAAACATCTGGGGAAAAAATGTAGATATCTTGGTGATAATCACAAATGGAACTGCTCTTCCACGAATTTGTCTAATTGTGGACCTTATCAGGCCCTCAGCTACATTCCAAGAATAGTTGATGGGGCAGGTACAAAGTACTTTATACAACCATGTTTGAGTGGTGCAATTCCCCCCACTCCACAGAAGTCAGTACATTTCTTGACCAAGGATTAGGCCGTGCTTCCTCTCACAGTTCCTTTGGAAAGTGACTCTGTCTCACCACAGTGCAGTTTTGTTTGAGTTACAAACCAGTGAATACATTTTTCCTCCCATTTGCTTAGGAGGGCAGAAGAGCGATGGGAGCCAAGGAGACATCTTGGCATGTGCGTTGCTGGGTTGGGCATATAAGGCTTAAACCTTGGGGTGCAAATCCCAGGATTCTTAGCCAGCAGGAACAAAGGAGGGTGCCAGGTTGGGAAAGACTATTAACATGACTTTTATAGTTGGATTTTTGTTCCAGGTGAATGTTGTGTCATTGTAATCATAATTACATATGGTCTCTGATGATCTTAGCATTCTGCTTTTAGAAATCCACAGCCTCTAAGGGGATTTACACATGTGATAATCAAAATCTACCTCTCATCCAGAATTGGGCCACTAGTGAATGTTTCGGTTTATACACTTGATATTTGTACGCTTTTATATTAAAAGAAGAACCAAAATGTGGCATGTAGTACAAATGAGTTCAATATAAGTAAATTAAAATAAAATTTCTCTCTTAAAGTTATACATAAATTATGCATTCTGCTAAAATTGGAAAAACACACACTGAAAGAACATAGCTAATGCTTTAGCAGAAACATCTTAAAACAGGATTAAAGGCTAGCCTGAATAGCGTATGCTTTACAAATTGACAGAAGGCTAGAATCTCTGCGGAGGGTTCCTCAACCTCCCTGGTAAGGCCCACGGCCATCATGCCATCTCTCGTACTTGCCCGTCTGATATGACACATCACTGAGCATCTGCAGCTGACCTTGAAAACTTGGCAAAGGGGAGGAAGTGACATTGTGCCTGTTATTGCATCATCACACAAATGATGTAAATGATCTAATTGGCATAATGACACACGCGATGTCACTGTGGCTTCCATGGGTTGCCCACAACGGCCCATTTATAGAAAGGCAGTGGTCTTACTGATGCACACCACAAGAGGCAAACGTTTCCTGTGGCTCAAATGAATTCTCCTGCAGAAGTTGCTTTCCTGCCCAGTTCAGGCCTCCCTGTGGTTATTGTGGACAGCTGTCCTCACAAAGGGGAAACCGCCCAGAGCCGTGAGACCTTGCCATCTTTTTTATGGATTCCCGTCTCCCTTCCTGCCTGATCAGCAGATTCTCCCACTTTTTATTGCGTTGAAGGTCTCTGTGTCACCCTCCACGGAAGAAGATTCTCTGCCCTCCCTAGCTGCTTATTTCAAGACTGAGATCCCAAAGAGTCACTTAAGTTGCAAAACGTCAGGTTTCCAACCAGTTGCATTGCCTGGCCATAAAAGTCATAAGGTGGACCCTGGTGAAGGAGCAGGGACAGAGTCAAGCCCCAGTCAGTCTCCAGAGAGGCATAGATAGCATGGAAGAAAAGGTCCCCGGTTGCCAAAAGTTACCAGATGGTTTGGGTGGGGCAAGCGAGCTGACTTACCAAAAGAAGCATGTGTGAAAGTTGGAAACTTTCAGCACTCTGTTCTATCTCAGGGCCTGATTTAAAATGTGTTTAAAATTTGCTAAATTTACCTTGCTTCCCTTTTCAGTCTGATACTGCTGTTTTTCCCTCTCCCCCCCAGACTTTTCCAAGAGCCTTTGGCAGTGGTGCTTCCGCTCTCTTTCTTCTCCCTCCCCTCCCAAACCCAATTCCCAGAACGAAGCAGAGACAGACACAAGAAAGGGCTTTTTCTGTCTCCACACCATGCTCAGAATGGCCATGTCTGAATGTCGCCCTATAAAATCTCTTCTGTTTCGCAGGATCGGCATGGAATCATTCTGTTTTGTTCAGTTTATCCTGGTGAACTCTCCTCCTACTGTGGATTCTGTTACGATTATTTTGATTCTTTGTTTATTTTACGTCCTGTTGTTGTGGTTGTTGGTTGGCTGCTCTGTGAATGTAGAGGTTGAAGAGAAGGTAGAACATAAATATATGTTTTGAAGTAAAATAGACTGTTAACCGATACTGCTGGGGGAGTGTTCTTAAAGGTGAAGTATGATATACATCGTCATAATACATGATTTCTTGTATTGGTTGGAAATTGTGGAAGCTAACATAGCATTCTGGACCAATTATAGTGTCTGAATAGTCTTTGAAGGCAGGCCCATGTAAAGTGCCCAGCAGTGGTCTAGCTGGATGGTGGTGAGGCCATGCGTTACTAGAATCAGGTTCCCCAGAGAGGGTCATCACTGGTGCATCAGGTAAAGCTGGGCGAAGGCCCTTCTAGCCAGGGCTTCTACCTTGCTTGAGCAGGGGCCATGAGTCCAGAAGGACTCCCGCGTCACAAGCGCTTCCTGCCAACCTCTCCTCCCCACTCTGTCCACTGAGGAAGGAGCAGAGCCATTGTAGAACAAGGCCTCCTACCCCCAACCCCTGCAGGCAGTCCAGCAAGGCGACAGCCAGGAGAGGAGTGCCATCTCTAAAGCAGCCATAAGTGGGATCAGGGACCCAAAGGGATGTTCCCTTCCCCCCCCCCCAGCTCTTAGCATGGCTTATAATTGTCCACCCATCGTCACACAGTCCCAACAGCTTACCCCAGAGAGTGACCCAATGCCATCTCTGTCCCACATCTAGGCCTGAACCCCATCTGAGAAAGCCCCAGATATTCTGTATCATCTAGGGTGCCACGGAGCTGGTCTGCCACCACTGTCTCATCTCCCCTTCCTAGAAAGGGAAGACTGATGGCTGGACAGGAGTTGTCTCAAACTCCTGGATCCAGGGACGCTGTTGAAAAGAGGGCACCCCACAGCTTCCTTCAAGAGTGCCAGGAACTCTCCCCCCTTCCCACAAGGAGGCACTAACCATCTCTCAGATCCACCCACTCCTCACCACAGCCAGGGTAGGCAGGGGTCCAGAAGAGAGTCAGCCGACAGGATGTCACAAGCATGTCTTTTCCTTTCCACAGTTCCAGGAGGAGAAGCGCAGGAGAGAGATAGAGGAGCGCCGGCGGTTTCCACTCGAGCAGCGACTGCGAGAACACATTATTGGCCAGGAGAGCGCCATAGCAACTGTTGGAGCCGGTGAGTTGGGGAATCCCGCTCGCTAACTCAAATCCTGCTCGGAAACTGTAGGGCCAGACCTGACAAGGTGGCTTGCCAGATAAATCCTGACAAGCACTGTGTTAGAAACTGGGAGGCGGTGAGTTCCAGTCCTGCCTGGGAGACTTTGGGCCGGTCCTCTCTCCCACCCCAGGAAGAAGAAGGCCAGGGCCAGCCCCCTCCCAACAATTGCAGGGACTGACTCGAAGGCACCCCCACCCCCCAAACAAAGCCCCCTCTCATACAGCTGCAACATCCAACATTTCTTGATAAAGATAAAGAAATAAAGACGAGTTGCTCTTGACACCAGAGCAAAGAAAATAGAGATAAATTTAACTCTTGGAGTTAAAACCTGAGAATAAAACCCAAAGCGTTAACGGTTCTTTTAAAAATACTCAGAACTGATGCCACATCTAGGGTGGAGAAATCCAGAGCTTGGGGGTCATCGTTGGAGGCCTCTCCCTCCTGCCTGTCAGTCAGATAGGATATGCAGGTGGGCATCACCTGATCGAGGGCCTCTGAGACTGGTTGTAACTCCTGGCAGTGCCCTTCAAGTAACTGGGTTCCAAGCCAATAAAAATGTGGCATGTTAAAGAGGGCACCCTGATTTGACCCTAGGAGTGAATCAGGGAACCTGGGCTGTTTCTGATATCACCAGGCAACCACATTCTTCCCTACACTCCTCTGAGTAAATCCCCCACCGGAGACAGGCCATTGCTATTCCAAATGAAGCGGGAATCCAGGACCAATTAATTCATCTCCTCTCAAACTATCTGGAGCTGAGAAGTGGTCACCTTCTCCACCATTTCACTTAGGAATGAAAGGCAAGGGCCAAACGGGACCATTGGTGCATAATACCTTCGATCCCTGCCTGATTTCTGTAACACTCGTATGACTGCTTCCATCCATCTGGCCAAACCAGGCTCTCAGAAAAGCAGAATATGCATGGCTCTCTCGATTATAAATGTATCTATTCATCTCAAAGTACAGAATACATGCAAAGCTGAGCAGTTTGGCTTTCAAAAAATCTGCTTTGTGGAAAGTCATTGTTTTGGTCTGCTAGCATTAGCCAAATGAAATCTGGACCAACTATGAAGAAGTGTGCCCCAGTGGAAACTGTTGCGTTGGGTAGTGGGGTCTACATGAAAAGATGAAAAAAAAAAAAAAACCAGTAGGGCAAGATAGGAATTGCATGATGGTAATGTCAGGTCTTGACCCAGGGAGACTGGCTTAGAGCTAGCAGGATAAAACAATTATATTTAAACATTTGGAGCTTCTCCACAAAGTGTCTTTCCTCTTTTGTTAAATTTTCTGTGATATTATATATTGGTACTAGTACATTTTATACTTATTTTATGGCACCAGACCAATGTTTTTAGATTGCATTGGGTTTGTTATTTTTCATCTCTTTGTTGTGGTATTACCAAATGAGCCCAAAGTCTCTTTGGAACCACCAGGATAAGGGGTTAATTTATTAATATTGCATATTAATAGTACATATCTGATCTGTTTCCAAAATTGGCATTCTGAGATTGTTAGCATTGAGAAATCACCATGCCGGGGAATAGGAACTGGAGAAAATGGAGATTGGGCTCCTGGCAGAGATTTTTCCCCCCTCACAATGCTCGATCTTGGAGCCACATGTTGAGGCTAAATATGGGAAGGACTGATAAAGGAAAACTTCTTTGGGGAGCATAAATGGTGGGATTTGCTGACTCTAGAACTGGTGATGGACACCGGTTTAGATGGTTATAAAAGGGGACCGCACATATTCTCTGAGAATGGAGCCTCTGGTAGCTGTAGCCTTGATGACGGTTTACCACATCCAGAAGCACAAGTGGCGCGTGTTCCGTGGCAGCTGCTGCAAAGCAAGTGTGGGAAAGGGTTCTCCTACCCACACCCCCTCCCTCTGGGTCTGTGCTTGAGAGCTGTCTGAATGCTCCCAATGGCAGAGATGGCAGCAGTGGGAGGTGGTGCCCTTGGCTCGGTCCAACCTCCGCATTCTTCTAACAAAATCAATGAGTTCTGATTAAAAAAAATACTCCTACTTTTGAAGCCTCTTTTCCTGGAAAGAGGAAAAATGGATCCTGTTACTTTCGTAGGACAAAATCTTTGAAATGGTTGCCGAGGGTTTCAGTGTGCTTTTGGTTGCTTGCCCCTCTTGTGGTCATCAAGTTTCCCCAAGTTTTCTCTGAGTGAGACTTTGAAGCAAGATTGGGAAATGTTTGCCTTGGACAAAATGTAATTCCACCATTTACCATGAAAATGAAGGGTGTAGAACTAGGAAATGACCTGCTTTTTCCCTCCTTGGTTTCTGCGTTATGTGAAGGTTTCGGCCCTTGTTCACACGGCTTTCGTCCTCTTGATTGCTTCCTTTGGCTTTTCTCCAGGTTCTTTCTCAACTGTCAGCAGCCTTCTCCAACACCAGTCGTTTTCCAAAAGTTCTTAGCGCTGGGAAGAAGGGCAGTTCTGTTGGGACCCAAAGGCCACTCCTGTTTTTGCCCCTGCATAGGCTGTCTCAACTGTTGCATGAGTGACTTACCTCTGTCACTTTGTTCTCACTCTCACTGAAACCCTAAAACAGTGTTTCTCAACCTCAGCAACTTTAAGATGAGTGGACTTCAGCTCCCAGAATTCCCCAGCCACCCATGCTGGCTAGGGAATTCTGGGAGTTGAAGTCCATCTTAAAGTTGCTGAGGTTGAGAAACACTGTCCCAGAGTTACAAATCTGCCTTTGGGGTTGCATTGGCATGTAGCTAAAGAGCAAGAATGAGTACATGGATTGGATAGATATCAGGAAGACAGAATCTTCTTCCAAGAATAACCAAAAACATCTTCCTGACATGCTAGTTCTGTGTGCATTGTGCATTAGGTTTTGCCAGTTGCATGTAGTGTGGCAGGTGAGGGAAGACTCTTCCCTGACAGTGATGGGGTATATTATCCTTTCCAAAGAGCAGAGAAGTGTGAGAAATCTGGAGACACCTGGAAGTAGGCAGCATCCATAGGCAAATGCCTTGATCCTTGTCTTCTGCTTACCAAGCCCTTTAATAAAACAAAGCCCTTTGAGGTCACCTATCCCACATAGGCCATGAGAGTGAATAAAGTTTGAGAAGTCTGTGCATCTCTTCCACATGTGTCTATCTCAGCCTTTGTTGAGTGCCCGCTTGGGACACGGAGGGAGGCTCTTCCCTCTGGGTCACAGGATACAAATCCTGGAGCCTGGCAGAGGAGACTGATTCCTCTCTGAACTGGAGGGGTTGCTTAAAACCTAGGGCTGTGCTACGGGGCAACCACAGTGGAATGATTTCGGCATCTAGTTGTTTCTCAGAGAGTGTAGTAAATAAAGAATATTAAAACTCTTTGTCAGCCTCCTGCTCCTGAATTTCCCCCTGCTGCTTTCAGGGGACCATTACAAGCCTGAGATAAATGGATGCAAGGGGTTAAGGGTTTGCTTGGTTTGGTTTGGTTTGGTTTTCCACACTTTTTCCACAAAGGGCACACTTTTCATTTTCTCTTCTAACCATCAGGACAATTGGCCTCTAATGTGGGTGTTCTAAGAACGTGCTAATTGGCTTTGCCCCTGACTGAGATTGCTGCAAACAGGAACGGCTTGTTTCTTTATTTTTTTACAGTATTTATATATCGCTGATGCCACTTGGACTCCAGCAGTTTACAAGAATACATAAAAAATCTGCCACCACTAAAAACAAGAGCCCCAAATCAGTTTATCCCAATAAATGTGCATTTGCACTTAACATGTGCAAAGGTAACATATCAGCTAGCAGTTTTTGCCGTAGAGAGCAAGGAGAAAGATAAAGTTGGTCAGAATGAGAGATTAACAGCTATTCGATGTCCCACTTAGCAATTAAAGAAAAAAGTTTTTTAACCCTCCTGAGATAAGCTTGAAGACCAGTGGGGCCTGCGCTAGACTTTTCTTTAGCAGTTTGTACTTCAACTGCAGCTCAGAGGAGGAGAAAGATTAGGTGCCAATGTGCCAGTCTGGTGAATTTGCACAATTCATTGTAATCACATTTGTCATGCGTTGAGTGCCTGGGCTATCCTAAAGGCAGGTCAGAGACCCATTGGAGGGATTTTTGCCTGCAGGCAGGAAGGAGCTGGTATTTCTTGGGTAAAAATCTGCAGTTGGGGTGGCAGGGACAGAGATTGCAGAGGCCATATAGCTCTGGGGAGGAAGTGTGGTGTTGTGCAGTTTTTTTGCAGTGCCCAGCCTGCAGGTTGGCGAAGGGGAAGGGGAAGGGGACCAAAAGGATGCTGGCAGCAAGATGCATCACTAAGCTGTGGAATTCATTGGCCGCTCACCTCGTGTCTCGACAATTTAGTGTTCTGTCTGGGTTGAGGGGAACATTCCTCCAAAATGGGAGAATGTCTTCCAATGTCTCCCATCTCCCGCTGAGAAACATCTGGTTAGCCACTGTGAGAAACAAAATGCTGGACTAAGATGGGCCGTGCTCTGATCCGGCAGGGCTCTGCTTTAGCTCTGAGACCTAGAAAATACAACCTGAGAGCAAGGGCGTGCAAAAGTTGCCCCAAGCCTCAGCTTGGTACCTTCTTAAGCAAGAGGCAGGAAACATCAGATGGGCTCAGCTAGGAAGGGAATCCCAGCTATGCAGGAAAAAGAGCCCTCCAACCTCCCTTCGGAGACGGGCCCTGGCTAGAAGGACGTGCCTCTCCCTTGCACACCCACAGCCTGGCACCCTGGTAGGACAGAGGCCATGCCTGCAGGCAGCTGTGGAAGCTAATTCAGAGGCCGTGATTAATGGAGAGGGCCCCTCTGACATCGGGGGTGCCTTGGGCACATGAGAGAGCAGCTGCCTTCACGAAGGTCTCTTGATTGAATTACGTGGGACCAGGCGCTCTGCCTCGGCTGCCGTAGGTGTTGCACAGGGAACCAGCTGCGCTCTGCCACCATCTTCCCAGAGCTGGTGGGGGTTCCTGGCACCTCCCACTGATGGTGGCTTGCC